TTTTGTCCCAGATTTATGACTTGATGAGAATAAAAGCAGAAGAAGGGGAAATGAAATTCAGACAGACAGTGTCACAAATAGGTGATAATTAAAGTCATTTATTTGTTTATACATGCACCAGATCTTTATTTCATTTGTTGAATAATTCAGACAAAGCCCTGGGCTTCTGGATGCTTAGCTGCTGGTGGATACATGGACAAGAAATACACCAACAAATATATAATGTAATGTCTGCTCGTGGCAATCACCATGAGAAAAATGAGACGGAGTAAGGGGAAAGAGAGATGGGTTGGGTGAGTACTATCTTATGTAGGATTGAAGGAAAGCCCTCTCAATGAGGTGGCATTTGAGCAGTGACCTGAACGATGTGATGAAGGGAGCCATCTGGACCAAGAATACTTAAGTATAAATACCTAGGGGTGGAAACCTGTTTGGGACATTCAAGGAACATCTAGACTATTTTAGGGGGTAAGTGTGACCACAATAAAATAGAAAGATGAAGAAAGATAGGAAATATTCAGTAAACTAGAGAGTCTTCTATTTGTCATGTTCTGCGTAGCGCTGGGACATGAAGGTGAATAAAACATAATCTTTGTCCACGAGGAAGAGTATCCTAGAGGAGGCAGGCATTGTAAGACAAAGAGACAATTGCTATTCTGGAGGTGTGTGCAAAGTTCAAAGGGAGCCAGAGGACAGAGACCTTAAATTTGCCTGAAAAATCAAGGAAGACTACAGAGAGGAGATGTCAAGGAATTATGAGGAGGAGGTGGGGATGAGGTTGGAAACTCCAAGCAAAGGGAAGGGCATAGGGAAGAATGAAGGCAAAAGGGGTGATAACTCATGATATTATCTGAGTTTAGTAGTTTGGTATTTCTAGAAGGTCAATGCTGATGAGAGATGTGTCAGGAGATGAGGTTGGATTGGTAGCTTATTGCACTTCAAATGTGGGCTTGTGTCATGTCAAGTCTGAAGAATATTGAGAAGTGAAGTAAAATAACCAAATTTGCCCTTTACACAGAGCCATGACGCAAGGTGGTACCTTTAACTAAGACAAAAATACAGAAGTAGAAGAACTTGGAGTAGGGGAGGTGAAGTGATGATGGGTTTTAGGCCTCTACAGTTTCGATTGCCCACAGGTCATCTGACCAAAAGGATGTTGGATATATATAGATCTGGAACAAAATCAAGGTTATGGGCAGAATAATCATTACCATATAGGTATTAGCTGCAATCATGATGTGAGCAGAGAAGTAGACTAACGTTGGAGCCAGAAAACAGCAGCTTTTAAGCAGTAAGGAGACGAAAGCTGACTGCATAGAAATCATCCTTGTATCACTGACCACATCGTGTTCTTATTTTTATTTGTGAGCCTAAATTCCCAATGAGTCTGTGAGCTCCTTGAAAGAAATAATTGTAGCTCATCTTTTTTGTGCTTGTATTCCTGGCAACTGTGCCAGTGTCTTGCACATGGTAAGCTTCATATACACATATATTTATTAAAATGAGTGAATGAATGAATAATTAGTCAATAAAGAGACACTATGGTTTGACATTTCTGCTTGATGCTTTCGTCTTTCAATGTGACATTTCACAGCAGTAGTTCTTATACCTTTTTATTACATTTTTATCATACAAGGAACATAAATTTATTGAAGAAAAATTAGAAAAAAAGACAGCTAAAAATATTATTCTGAATTTCAATACCAGAAATAACTATGCTTAACATTTCATGTCTATCTTTTTAGACCACTACTATCAATCGAAATACAATGTGAGCTACATAAATAATTTTAAATTTTTTAGTAGCCACATTAAAAGAAAGAATAAATATATAAAATGAATTTTAATAATGTTTTATTTAACCCAATAATCCTCCAAGTCATTTCAACATATAGCCAATATGAAAAAAAAACATTAATGAGATCATTAACATTGTTTTCTTCATACTAAGTCTTTGAAACCTGGTGTATATTTTACACTTATGGCAGATCTCAATTTGGACTGGGTACAATCTAAGTGTTCAATAGCTGCATGTAGATAATGGCTGTGTATTGGACAGTACATTTCCAGACTCTTTTTGTTATAACGTCATGCATGACGTTTCCGTCAATGACACAATACGTAGACGACGGTGGTCCCATAAGATTAGTGCCATACAGCCTAGGTGTGGAGTAGGCTATGCCGTCTAGGTTTATGTAAGCACACTCTATGATGTTCACAACATGACAAAATTGCCTAATGATGCATTTCTTAGAATGTATCCCCATCAGAAAGTGGCACATAACTGTATATATAATGATATGGCTATACATAAAAATCATAATTCTCCCTCCACAAAGGTGAGGTCATGTGAAACCTACAGTTTTATAAGTTTTTAAAATAAACTTTTTATTTGAGAATAGTTTGGGATTTACAGAAAAGTTGTGACAATAGTACACATAGTTTCCCTTCTTATTATCTTACAATAATACATTTGCCACAATTAATAAACCAATACTGATACATTGTTATTAACTAAAGTTCATATTTTATTAGATTTACATAAATTTTACCAAATACCCTTTTTCTGCTTCAGGATCCCACCTGGGGATCCCACCACATTACACTTCATCACCACGTCTCCTTAGGCTCCTCTTGGCTCTGACTATTTCTCAGACATTTATTTTTGATGACCTTGACAGTTTTGAGGAGTACTAGTCAGTATTTTGTAGAATGTCCCTCAATTGGGATTTCTCTGATAATTTCTCAATGATTAGACTAGGGTTATGGGTTTTTGGGAGGAAGACCATGGAGGTGAAGTGCCATTTCTCATCACATCACACCAGAGGGACTTGTTATCAGCATGACTTATCTCTGTTGACTGTGACCACCTGGCTGAGGTAGTGTTTGTCAGATTTCTCCACTGTCAACTTACTATTTTTTCACTCTTTTCAAACCGTTCTCTTTGGAAGGAAGTCACTATGCACAGCCCACACTTAAGGAGTGTGGATTTATGCCCCACTTCCTTGAGTGTGGAGTGTCTACATAAATTATTTAGAATACTTCAACATGGCATATTTGTCTATTCTGTCTCATTTCCTTATTCAATAATTTATAACAGTGACTCATGGATATTTATTTTATACTTTGGGTTATTACTGAATACTACTACTTTATTTATTTTATTGCTCAAATTGTTCCAGCTTTGGTCACAGGGAGCTTTTCCAGTTGGCTCCTATGTCCCTTTGACACAGCCCCATCACCTTCTTTTTTCTTGAGCTCTGTAGGGTACTCCAGACTTATCTTGCCTGTTTCCTGCTCCAGCACTGGAATCAGCCATTTCTCCAAGGAGCTCTGGTCCTTTTATTGGAAAATGCAATTAGAAATGGAGGTAGGGGATTTAGGCATACTCATTGCTCCTCAAAAGCATCAAGGGAGAGAAAGATGTGAAATAGATTTTGAAAGATAATGAGCTTCCAAAGGTAGAAATGGGGAGGAAACGTTGCGGGAAAGGCAAACAGCCGGAGCAGGATTTTGGAGCTGGGAAAACCACAGTCTCACAGGGAATCCAGAGTCTGAGCAGGCAAGATTCTCTGGAGGGACACTTTAGGGAGACTAATCTGGGTGCATTAAGCAGCGTGAACCTGAGCAAGAAGAGTCTGAATGGGGAGAGAACAGCTAACAGCTAAATTCCCAGTGAAGTAATGCAGATACAAGTGTTAAATTTGTCCCTCATCCTTACCATGCCCGGTGATATGGGAGGAAAGAGCTGAATGGCTTTTCTAATCTGAACAATTGAAGGAATGTTTCTTTTCTGAACTGCAGTAAGCCAAAAATAAAGAGTAATTTTAAGTATTTTGTTTTGTTACTTCTTTTTACCCAATGCTATTTCTATTAGTGTTTTTAGTTAGGTCTCTTTTGATTGCAAGTGATAGAAAACCTGACTCAAAATAGCTAAAGGAAAAAAGAGAAATTAATTGTGTTGCATTGTTGGTGTCACACCTAGCTCCCCTCGTACTTCATTTCACTTCAGTGCTCCCTGCAGACTTCCTCCTGTCAGCACTTGAGTTTCTTTGCCTAAGGGATTTCTATTACTGCTACAGCCCACTAAGTGCTGGGGAACTAACACTCCCAGGAGCTGTCCTTGACCAATGACACACAGGATTTTGAGATCAATACCTTAGCTCCTCTGGCCCTCAGGTGGGATAACGAAGCAAATGTTCACGCTGGTTCCCAGAGATTCCCTGGCAGGATTAAGCTCCAGGTGCCCACAGTGGCAGCTGGCTTGATAACATACACCCTTTGCTGGCTGGCTTCCTTTCCTGTCTCTCTCTCTCCTGTGCCCCTGCCATGCATCCTGGGATCACGTCTCAACTAAACTACTTGCACCTGAACCCCTATCTGCTTCTGGAGGAATCCTAGCTAAGGCAACTAGGGTATACAACTTAAAATCCCAGATAGAGCTCCTTGAATCACAGCAGGGGTCAAGGCTTCAAACAATGTTAAGGAAGTTGAATTTCACTCTCTCTTTTCAGGAACATTCTCTTCCCTGGTGGTGGGAAAAGGGCTGCTGGCAGCCCTGGATTTACATCTTAGCCTCTTACATCACCAACAGCATTCTGAATAGTTCTATATTAAGTTTTGGCGTGTGGGCTTGGGTCAAGTACCCAATCTTGAACCAATCATGTTGATCAGAAAGATGAACAATGCTAACTGGCCAGAGGTCCAAGGGTGGGGTCGGCCTCATGCAAACTCAAACATGGGGAGGAGGAGGGGAGGCATGGTCATCAAGGGAAAATCAAGGCATTGTCACCAAAAAGGGGAGATGGATGTTGGGCAGGCAGAAATGACAGATACACCTGTCGATTGGCTATGTTATCACCCTTAGACACCAGATTCAGAGATAAGAAATGCTCTTGAGGTTGGAGTCTTGTAACCACAAGTCTTTCTTTGGTACCAAATGTGAGATGATTGTTGCTAGAATGTTCATTAATTTCCTCTCTAGACCTACCAGTGCCACTCACCATGCCTTTTGTCTACCCTTTTCCTGTCCTGTGGGTTGTTCTCTTCCATGCTCCTGGAGGAGCAGCTGGCTTGTACTGAGCCCTAGGGGTTTTTGTAAGGCTCTTCCCATCACTAGCCTCACTGTGGGATGCTTGTGCAACAGCACAGAAATAGACAGCTGAGTCTCCAGGTGTCAAGGCTGAGATGGTGAGCGTTAGGGTTGGTTTCTGAAACACCACAGAATATCGTCCTTCCCTTGAGTTCCTATTTGCAGAATATAGTCGAATGATGTGAGTCATCTCTCCACTGGAAAGCTGTCGATACCAGTACATATTGTAGTAAGTATAACTGACTGTGATTTTGCAGTCCAAGGTCACAGATTCTCCCACTTGTGCAGACATAACATTTGCAGCTTGATAGACGCTCTGAGTATTGCTAGAACCTGTAGAAAAGAAGAAAAAAATGACATATCTGATGACATTGCTCACAAGAAAACCGTTGCAAATATCCTCAGATTTTGACTCAGTAAATAAGGTGGAGAAAGGCACAGTCCAGTCATATTACAAGTTCTTTCCCAACCCTCCTCCCTCAGCCCCCGGCTTCAGGGTTGGCGGGCTCCCTACCAAAGCAGATGAAGGCCAAGACTGTGCACAAGAGAGCAAGCCGTCTGGGCTGCATCCTTGGGGCTCTTCTCCCTTGTGAAATGGCTCTTGTTCTGCCTGCCACCTGACAGGCTTTTGTAGTGTCAGAGGAGCTGGGTGGCCCTGTGGCCTTGTTGCTGCACAGCCGGAAATGGGGTTTCTGCATACGCAAGCTTAGTCATGTCACCTGCTGGCTCTGTTTGCCCTGCAGCCTCTCTTCCTCCAGGTCTATTACTTTTCTCGAATAAATATGTAGCATGTAGTATATATTTTAATTATGAAAGAAAACTTGCTCAGTGTAGAAATGACCAAATGTATAAAGGAGATAATAAAAATCCAACTATAACATCAGTTCCCAGAGATAAGTTCTGTTAACATTTTGTTGTATTTCTTTCAGTATTTTTAACATAACTATGCATATTTTAAAGGAATTGGGATCATACTGACAATCTTTTTTTAAACATTATGTATATGAATATGCTATCATGTGATTCAATTGTATGTGAAAATGTGATTTTCATAACCTCATACTACTTTTAAGTTGTTGAAACATCATTGTTAGACTTTGTTTCCTGTTTTGACTATGTTAAATAAGATTCAGTGGACATTGTAAATGTAAGTCTTTGCGTTTATGATGATTTATTTATATGTTAACTAGGTTCTTTTAAAGTTGTTTATTGTGGAAAATTCAGACACCTACAAGAAAAGAGAGAATAGTGTAATGAACAACATATACACATCATCCAGCTTCCATAATTATCAACTCATGGCCAATCTCCTTAATCAACACCCCCACCACCCTTCACATCTAAATACCTCCCCAATCCTGATTAGTTTGAAGCAAATCCCAGACATCATGGTGTCATGCACTTTGTTCAGGAGACTCAAAATGTCAGGTGGCCTTTTAGTCTGTGTGTGTGTATGTGTGTGTGTGTGTGTTGTTAGTGACTGATGATAAGCAAAGACTAGATCTATTGTTTGGTGGAGAGTTGGTTTGCAAAATGATATTCTAATTATATCATTTCTACTTCATTTAGTAACTGAAATATTGCTATAAAGATAATTTTTCCTTGTCAATTATTTGATTACTCTCTGAGGTTAAGTGTATGATTCTTTACATTTGTCAGTTTTCAAGATAATGAGCTTGGTCCCCTGTAGGGTGACCACCATCCCTTCTGCCTGAGATGGAGGGGTTTCCCAGGACCTGAAGGTTTCAATGCTAAAACCTGGATAATCCCAGGCAAACCCCAGGCAAATAGGACAAATCTCCAAAAGTAACTGAGGAGAATTCTCTTAAGAACCCACACTTGATGTGTTCCAATCTATTAGATTCATTATCTTATTGATGCAAGAATTGTCCCATCTTTAATCAGAGGAAATCTCTTCAGGTTGGCCCTTGAGTTTTTTTGACATGGCCTTGTCATCTTTGATAGCTTCCTAGTTTTCTAGTATAACCTGAGTATTCTAGGCTCATTTCACACATTTTCTCCCCCAGAAATGGAGTCAGCCGTCAATGATAGTTGTGTTTTTTCCTTTCTAGCCCTAAATTTTTTATTATTTTACTGTACTTGTTAAGACTTCTAGTGCAATGTAGAATAGAAAAGGTAATATTGGAAATTTTTGTCTTTTTCAAGTTTTTGAGGAAATGCTTTTAACATCCACTTTAAAAACAAATTCAAAGATTGCCTTTGTCAGCTTAAAGAAGTTCCCTCTTCTTTCTAGTTTGCGAAGAGATTTTAATTATAAATACGTGTTAAACATGACCAAATCACTTTTCTCCATTTAGTGAGAGAATTTTAGAGTTAATGTATTCATGTGGTGTGTTGCACTGATATTAAACCTTCCTTATACTCCTGGGATAAACCCTAATTGATCACGGTGTATAACATTAATTTTTAACATTCAGTGCTAGTTGGATAATATTTTTATGAGCTGTCATTGCTTTTTGTAAGTAATGTTGGTCTATAATTTTCATTTGTCATCTGTTTTTTCCTTGTTTTTGTTGTCGCTCTCTTGGTGTCATGCAATGCGTTAAGTAGCTTTCCTGTTTTTATTATTCTCAGGACTTAGGCATGGTTTGTATAATATGGAAATTATTGGTCTTGGGATGGTGTAACTTGCCTGTAAAACTACTCGTATGTATAGAGTTTTAAATTTCTTCAATTTACATGTAAATTCAAAATTTCTAATTTTTCTTGTCTGTTTTGCTAGATTATAATTTTTAGAAAGTTTTACCTTTTGTCCAAGCTTTTGAATGTATTTGTATGAATTTACTGCTTTCATTTTCTTGTAATTATTTAAATTTGTACTGTGTATATGGTCATTATCTTCTTTTACACAATATTTTTTGCATCTTCTTTTGTTATTTCCTTGACAAATCTCATGAGAGATTGGCCCATTTACTAATTCTTTTCAAAGGACCATTTAAAATTGATCCTTTCCATTGCTTCCTTGTCTCTATTTCATTAATTTTAACTCTTTTTTTTTTGAGGAAGATTAACCCTGAGCTAACATCTGCTGCCAATCCTCCTCTTTTTGCTGAGGAAAACTGGCCCTGAGCTAACATCCGTGTCCCATCTTCTTCTACTTTACACGTGGCATGTCTGCCACAGCATGGCTTGCCAAACAGTGCCATGTCCACATCCGGGATCCAAACCGGCAAACCCTGGCCCGCGGAAGCGGAATCTGAGAACTTAACCAATGTGCCACCGGGCCAGCTCCATAATTTTAACTCTTATTGTTGCTATTTTCTTCATCCTACTATTTTTTTTTTTTTTTTTTAGGAACATTAGCCCTGAGCTAACTGCTGCCAATCCTCCTCTTTTATTCGCTAGGAAGACTGACCCTAAGCTAACATCCATACCCATCTTCCTCTCCTTTATATGGGACACCTACCACAGCATGGTGTGCCAAGCGGTGCCATGTCCACACCCGGGATCTGAAACGGTGAACCCTGGGCCGCCAAAGCAGAACGTGCGCACTTAACCGTTGGGCAACCAGGCCGGCCCCTTCCTCCTACTTTTGATGTTTATTCTTAGTCCCTTTGAAAACTTTTTGATTGAATATTTGGCTCATTATGTTCAGTCATTTCATTTTAATATATATATCTCTAATATATGGGATTTTAAAAATAATAATAATTTTATATTGAGGTATAATTGACATTCAACATTATAGTATTTTCAGGAAAAGTTGCTAAGAGTAAATTTTAGAAGTTCTTATCAGAAGAATAAGCTTTGTAAGTATGTCTGGTGACAGGTATTGACTAGACTTACCGTGGTGGTCATTTCACCATATATACAGATATCAAATCATTATGTTTACTATGTTTTTAAGGCTTTGATATTTTATCTGTGTACTGCTTTAGCTTCCTCTCACAAGTGTTAAAATGTTGACCTTTCATTATTGTTCATTTGTAAATATTTTAACAATTCTACTGTGATTTCCTCTGTTGTCCATGAATTATTTAGGAATGCATTTCTTTGTATTTAAAGTTGGCTTTTTATTAATATTATTGAACTTTGTTCATTGTAGTAAAAGAACATGATCTGTGTGATATTGATTCTTTGATACTTGTTGAGATTTGCTGTGGTCAATTTTCTGATTATTTCTTTAGGGTAAATTTCTAGATATAGAATTGTTGAGTGAAATAATTTATGTATATTAACAAATTCCCCTCTAGAATGCTTGTACAAATTTATATTTCTATGGCATTACTCTAAGAGTTTTTGTTTTGTGACATCCTTAGATGCACCAGAGAGTCTAATGCTTAAAAATTATTTAACAATTTGTAGAGAAAAAAACATATTTCCTTGTAATATTAATGTATGTTTATCACTGAGATTCCATGCTTTTCATGTTTTTATTGCTATTTTAATTTCTTAATTTGGAAATTATTTTTTAATATTCATTGTCATTTTTGAAATTGGCATAATTTCTTTCTAATTTCTTTGTAATTACACTTTATTATTTAAGGAGTTTAAACAGGTTTGTTTGTAAAAAATCATTGTCTCAGAGTCTACTACTGATTCTTAACCAGATAGGGAGGCAGCAGAAATTTCACTATGACAGTGCCAGAGCTCCCTGGACTAACTGTGTACCTAGGCCCTCCCAATCCTAGAACTCACCATTAGCCTGATACACCTTTACATATAAACCACAAAACTTCTGTGACCTTTAGCTACACATCTATAATATCTGAGAAATATTTCAGAAACCTTGAGATCCTGGTTGCTGAAATTGTTATTCCAGAAGAGATAAGGTTGATGCCGGTACCAATGGGTACATATATAACTTAGGGTGACCGGTTCAGAAAAAGGAGTCAACTTCTTCGGGTCAAGTCATTCTTCTGAGAGGAGTTTGTTATAAAGGGTGAACTTCTTATAAAGGGAATTCTGTCCAAAGAAATGACAATGGAATTGGGAGCTTCTCAGAATGAAGAGGTTTACAAGCCTAGGGTTGGGTATAAGACAGGGTTTGGAAAAATTGCACTTGTAAAAGAAGATAACAATTGGTTACAGAATTTCCTAAAGTTTAGGAGAATTTTTAAGAAACTCTGCCTTCAATAACCCCAATATTATCCAGGCTTCTAATTCTCAGCCCTATCCTTTTCAGTCCTAAATTCAGGCCTCTCACCAGTCCAGGGAATGTCAGCATGGTCTCATTGTCATCAGTCATGTGAAAGGGCAGAATTGCCCCCTGGAGGCCAGACAGAGGAGCAGCCTTCTTACAATATTCTAGGACAGTGGTTCTCACGCTTGGCTGCACATTAGAATAAATTGGGGAGCTTTACAAAAAAGTGCTGATTCCTGAGCCCTAGACCAATGTGGGGACACATTCTGGCATCGCCACATTAAAATTTATACTAAAGTAAAAATATATGACAGAAACGAAAGCAGCTGCTCTGCAATAAATCCCAACATGAACAAAAGCTGTATTACTAATAGCAGGAAGGTTAACTAAAGAAGATGTTGGGAGAGAGAAAAAGAAGGCACTTTATCTGTAGGTTTCCCAGTCTGGGAGGGAACCAACTTTACAAAATCTAACACTGAGACTTGAAATTTGTGTATGGCAGAGTTTGGGTGTATATTTATGATGTTTTCATGAAGGTGCTCATTTTTATACATATTAGTTGACTGTTGATTACCCAAGTTTGGCCTCCTAATTCTCAAACCTTTCCTT